AATGAAATCATATTCTATTTTTAAAATTGAGTTTTTCAATTCTATGAACAAAATAATGAAATTAGTCGTTAACTATGTATTTTATATGTAATGGTGTAGCATGTCAAAAAATGGAAGTGTTTTTTTTCTGATATTGTTTGATTAGTAGAATACACACTTGCTTTTATTTATACATTAATCTCGGTAAATAAAATATCTTTGCATAATAAAATAGTATGATAATAGTGATATTCACGAAATTTGTCATTATACGTCTACAAAAACATGACTTTTCAAAGGACATAATAGAAGACCCCTTTAAGAATTTGTAAGTAAAAAGACAGAATAGAAGACCTGGGTCTTTTAATACGTCCATGGCTTTAGTACATCACGACTGATTGAATCTTCCAGTGGTATCAATGAATTGGAGGATGGCTGTGTACACTCTTAGCAGGTCCTGCTTAGGCAGTGCTCGGATCGATTCATGTTTCAAAAGTATGTGCTCCAGCGTAATATGATTATCTTTAAGGACAATACGCAACTCCTCAAACATAAAATTACGAGACTTGTCATAAAGAGCACAGTCCATAAAAAAATGTTCAGTAGTCTCCCTAGTAGCCACATGCACACGCCGGTGACTTCTCTAATCCACCTCTAGTAAAGAGATAGTCATTTAGTTGGGGATTATCAACTCTACATCGCGTATGATGTATTTCCAACCGCCGATCACGCACTAACGGTAAACGAAAGGACGGAATAAATTGCAAGACTAATCTGAGTTTGAAATCAGTCAATTTATGTATTAAACGTATATCATTAGGTAGAAGACTTCATGTACGAATACCCTCCCGAATAAAGGATTTCTCCAATAGTGCCCGACCTCTTAAGTTCAACGAGATGTCTCCTGGACTTAAACTTCGAGTTTGGTAAACCTGGGGTCCCGGCATAGGAAGAAGTTCAATAAGATAGGTAACAGTTTTACCTTGCATTAAATATATCGAACAGCAATGAATATTCTATTTTGCTATTGACATTTTTCTTGCTCAACTTCAACAAAATAAAAACGATGGATGAATTGCACGTTGTTGTGTAAGAACGAATCACAATCTGCAAAGCATGCAGTACATGATTCATGACAGAATAGAAAAAAAACGTCGGTAAATAGGCGAGCATACGCGTCTGAGAAAAAGCAAATCGGACGCGCAGAGACAGTAAGATCAGACATGTTCTGATCGAGAATTTATTTTTAGCTCTCGTTCACTCAGGAAAGCGAAGAAACGTCATATGTACAATCTTAGATATGAGTATTCATCAACGCATTCGCCACTGCCTATGGAAGCAACCGAGTCATGCCAAGCAACCATTGAAGGAGCCATAGTACTTCTTGGTTTTCATTCGGATCTTGATTCATGCGATCGACCCACCATCGATAGATCTTTATCACTGGATGTGCACGCTCATGATTGCTTACTGTAGCGTAGTTGGATGCGACGACACCATCGATGACTACCGTACCTGAGGTGTCAAAAGAGCATAGAAACCTTGAAGGTGAGCATGCTGAATCTTCACTATGAGTCCAGGAATACCTCTTCTTCGAGAGACATAAAACGTCACCCTCATGAGGGGTGAGGCCCCTCACCGTCAGAGCACCCAAAATCATAGGTCCATCGCGAAGCATCGCCCACCAACGAGACCATGACGACAACCAACATCCGATACCGCTAACGAAGCGCTTTTTGTGCCGCCTCGTTTTGTGAACATGTACTATTATCTATCCCTGATCTCGAGGGAATCTATGATCTTCGTAAGTTCGCGAATGAAAGTGGCGGTATCTCGTGTTGGTTGTCATCATGGTCTCGTTGGTGGGCGATACTCCGCGATGGATCCATGATTTTGGGTGCTCTGGGGGTGAGGGTGACGTTTTATGTCTCTCGAAGAAGAGGTGGATATATTCTTCGATCAATAAATATCGCATTCACTCTAGGAAGCCAGCTCTTGATAGAACAGAAATATGTGAAGATCGATCTCGAAAAATCAGGGATAGTTTTGGATGTTTTCTACTTATGTCGGATTGATCGATCGATATATTTGTAAAAAGAAATATTTGTCTCAAATGAGTTAGTTTCTGATAACAAATGCGCATTGTTGCACAAGATGTTTATAATTTTTTTGCTCCGATATGTTTTTTAACAAGTACATGACTGAGACACCGGAAGAAATGTTATCTACGATAACAGTGAACAAAAAATGATGTTATTGCGATCTTGATAGCAAATCTTTCCGAAATAATGTCACCATGGATAGACTTGATTTTTTTGCTTTTTGTCACCGCCCAATTCGAAAAATTTGGCGCGTTTGATGAGCACTTGATTCGTGTATTGGCACTCGGTGCATTTCATACGCAATACGATTTTCTTTGTCGTTTTGCATTTTTTGAAAACCACAGGCATCTTCTGTCCATTGATGGGCAACTGTTTGATACCATGTCGACGATTGTTTTGACAGTAGGTTCTTACTTTTCCGGTTTTATACTGTGTCACATTGTGTAGCGTGTGTCTTCTGCACATGTGACCCTTACAAAATGTGCGACGAGTCTTCGGCAAATTGACCATTCTATATATGTACTCGACGTTAAGGAAAGCAAAACACTTCTCAAAGTACGTTCTTTTATACGCGTTATTACTCAAAATTGCGCAAGAATGCCACACAGAATAGTCACTGCGTACTTTTTTCTTCCTTTGCAAAAAAATAGTTGAACTGGCTATAGTGCGTCGCAACTAACAGGTGTAGATCATATAGATTAGAGTTATTTCTACCGAGTAAAAATCTGTCGGGTGCTATTGGAGTTAGATCGGCACTATACCAACTTATTTCACAGTATGATCATTTATTTTTTGTCTCCTCTCCGTTCTGGAGAGTGAAAATTTTACTTTTGCCGGCACAGTGGTGTATACACAATCAATTCGCCTTGGCAACTGGCCTTGGATCGATAATTATCCACAAGAACGTGGTCTGTACAACTTAAAGTATAATTAACTAGAATATACTTAACTATGGTTTTTACGCCCATCTGAAGTACACAAGTTAAACTCCACGCACTGATCAGCTTTAGCGAATAAAATTGTTCTTTCCAATTAGACACACATTTCGCTGTACGGGTTTCCATCCTATATCTTGCAGATAGTTTATATCTACACAGGATCTGTCAAGTTTCTTGATCTCAAAGAATGTTCAACAATTCCTGTCAAGATCTTGTCAAGTTATTGTGAGGAATCTGCCTGCAAAAATCTTGACAAGATTTGAGAACTTTTCTTTGATCAACAAAATCTTTGCTAAAAAAGAAAGGTAGCAATCATTTTGATTACTACATGACTCAGAGGTTCGACAAAAATGTAAATATGCCTATTTTGCATTTATTTACAGTTATTGTAGCACTGCAGTGTAGAGGACTCTGTTAAAATCCTGTTGGTCGATAGGGTAGACAAATAAATATGTTATTCTTTCAATCATCATTTTGTTCGACAATTTTTTTGCATATGTTGTAGGCAAACTTGGAATCCAGACAAATTCCGAATCTTGAATGAGTCATGAATTGGACATTTAGTTATAACTTTTAATCGGCAGCATCAATAAGATCAAAATATATCGGAAATAACTGGTTAGAAAATACTCTGTTTCTATCGAATTTATGAGTCTGAAACGTTTCACTCAAAAGAGAGTGCATTACTATTTTGATCGTTAGATGATTGCACGTTATATCTGCGAATCCTAGCGATATCAACGTTATACCATTCTACTTTGCAATATTAAAATGCATTTGTTAATGAACACAGATGGTAAATAAACAGATGGTAAATAAACAGATGGTAAATAAACAGATGGTAAATAAATAGAAAAGAAACAATCTAAAATAAATAAGTTAATGAAAAAGGCATATTTCACAAGGTGTAAATAGTCTAAACTAAAAATTTATATATCTAGCTAGTCGTATATTTTTATTAAATATATATATATTTTTGAATACGGTAGGTTATGAAACATCTGGAAGCGATACGAAAAGATGATGTATAACGTGTTCAAGATTCTCAATAGTCACCCTAAAACTATAGTGTAGACTCGTATTGATCCTCTTTTCATCTTGTTTCTTTTTCTGCGTAAAGACTGCTCTTTCATCCTTCCGTATGGTCTTTTCTCTTTTCAGAAATGATGAGATGTTTGAAGAATTTTGACAACGTTAATGTTGGTTAATTCCGATATTGAAGAGGATGTTTCAGGCATTTTAGTTAAATTGTTTGTTTTGCTTTCTTTTAAATTGTTAAAAATGCACGTTCTTTCTTGTTTTTCTAGATGCTTTAGAATTCATTAATAAAAGAACTTTATTGGACTTCTTTACTTTGCCTTTTTTACGTTTTTAATCCTTTGATGTTTTTACAGGAAGATAGCAACTTTTCCTGCCGAAACAGTGCGTTCCACTTTTTAAAATCCGATTCAGTCCACTTGTTTTTTTAAACTGCGGATGCGAGGGGAGTCCGCAGAAATTTGTCTCTGAGTTAAGCATGATCAGCAAAGGATCTTCATACATGCAGAGCAGTTAATTTAGTTTCTTTTAGTTCTTTCGCTTTAGTTTGTTCTGGTTTTACTATGGCCTGCCGAAACGTCGAGGTGACTTGCTGCAGTCTTCCATTTATCCTACTACCTTTTCTCTAAAATCCGACTTGCTATTCTCAATCATAACTATGTTGTGGAATAAAAAGAGATAGAAAGTTAAAAATCATCGTTTTCGTCATCGTGACTGTTAGCTCGTTGTAACTGTGCTGTTTCAAACAATACATTAATACTGTTCCCATTCTCATCTTCTGCTTCACTGTAATCATCAATTTCTTCACCATAACTTTCGTTTTCGTCTGACGTTTGAACAGATATATTTTCATCTTCTTCATCAGAATCAGTTAACATTGCATGCGAGACGAAAAGACTTCGTTTAGCTGTGCGATTTGGATTAGATAATGATTGTTTTTGTTTTATATTATCCGAATTTCTATTTAAACATTTTTGTGGATCACACTTGCACAGAAATGTGCACGATGTGTTTTTACAACCTAGAACAGAGTATATCAAGGAAGAGTCATTTTTCAGATGAACACGAGCAGATATCAGTAAGTTGTGGTTGTTTTCAATGCACAAAAGAACACAATAAACAGACCTCTCGCCGCAATTTTTACAACTTGTTTTGCATTTACACCCAGTTAGTTTGGGATGACTTGACATTGTTTTCCATTTGATTACTAATTCATTATTCACGTGTTCGTATCCATTGTTATTCAAATCGGGATAGTCAATATCTGTTTTAGAAGCTTGTAACCACACTGACTATTCGCACGAGCAAGATGTTGCTTAAACGAATCAGTTGTTGGTGGTAATTTATCTAACATTGACTTGTTAGATTTTCCCTCAATAAATCTCTTCGCACATATTACACGTGCTTCATCGAGTGTAGCACAGTCACAACCAAAACATCTAATCAATAATTTTTCAGCAGCTATAATAGCATTATTTGAAATTTGTGAGATTCCAAATTCTGATAAAGCATTGTATCGATTGGGATGGTCAAGATACGCTAGGCGCAAAAGCTGGACGCAAGCTTGCGTCTAAGTTATCTTCATATTTGATTGGTCGCAAATTTTAAAAAGAATTAAAAAATTTTTTTCTTTTTCTTGCCGAAGAAAGGCTGTTAATTCAAGAAAGATATTGGCAGAACGTTGCATATTTAATTCTCAACTTAAGTGTTCGGCAATAACGTCGTAGAGGTTGATGGTAGAATTTGATTGGTCTATATGGAAACTGAAGCCAGAGAATATTGATCGCGTAGGATTGATGACTGATGTTTTGTAACAATTTAAATTAAATTGAAGAAAAAACTACCTGTTAATTGCTTAATCAATTATTAAATTATTTAATAATTGATTAAGCAATTAACAGGTAGTTTAGATCACTTGTTTGATCAGATGTTTATTCTTTCGTTTTAGCTAATGTAAAATAGTTTGGAGATGAGGATGTTACTATTCTACTTCAAGTTTTTCGTAGATATCGGTTAGAACTCGTTAGTTCAGCAAAAACTTGGTTCAATTTATATTCGCGGTTAGTGTTTTGCTAGTGCGTGTGTGAAGTTGCTGTAGATTTTCACCTACAAGATTTGTGTAGTCGATGGTGAAAAACTGTTTGTCAGTGTTTTTAATTTCTAATGTTTTAGATCCAGCACTGTTCAAGATGGTTCAATATGGCTGATTCAACTCAAGATGCTTCTTAGACAATTTGGCGTACTGAAACTGATACAACACAACGTGTGACCCTTATTTTTCTTTGAAAACTTTCATATGATCATATAATACGCATAGGAGGACTATTATCGTCTTATTTTCTCGTTTTATTTGTGCAGATCTATTCATTTTATCTGTTTTTCGTTATTGAGAAACGGAAAATTCTTTTGTTATGTTATTCCAAGGTAGATGGCTCGGTTCTGACAACTTGTGCCGTAAAATAGTAAATGCTGCTGAGATGCGTGCAAATTGACAAACTTATCGATAGGTGCCTGAAAATCTTTTCTGTGATTCTAATTTCTGATAACTAAGTGATTTTTGCATCTATTTTTCCAAGTACAGCGTCCTCTTTTTTCTGAATAATTATACAAAAACTAAAATTTGAATACCTTCTTTGACCAGATGGTTTCCGAAAAAATGCTAAAAAGTTCTATTTATGTTCTATTAGTCTTTTATAGAATAAAATCCTCTATTTTAATTACCAGCGCGGCGAGAAGATGGCATGTTTTGGATGACTGAAATTGTATGTGGCTATTTAATGGTGCATGTCAATGACGCTAGTAAATTTATGGTATTGATGATTTCGAAGTCGTCAATGTATAAGTAAACCGGATTCTTTTCTTTATGAATTCTGCAATTTGATATTTAATTCTATAGATCGGCTATCACAAATAGACTTTTGTTTACATTCTTTTAAGTATGTGAATAAAATTAAACAACTGCAAAATACAGTTTATTATTATTTGATCTGAGGAGTTTTTCTTATGTTTTCAGACCACCTATAATTATTAGTCTATCAGTTTGAAAAAGTGCCTTCGTTCTATGCCTCATTATTAAATTATAAATCAATTTTTTCTGCTTTAACTAATGCTGGAAAACTTAATGCTGGAATGGAGATTTTGATCATCAATTAAGTCGTACATTATGCTGTATGGGAAAAATCATTTTTGATCAGGAATCGGGAATAATGATCTACAATTATTTTCTCTTTTAAACCAGGTTTGCGAAGAAATATTTTCTGTTGAAGGAGAAAATCAATACTTTAATACTGAATTTGTTTTTGGTACCTTGTAAAACTTGAATAACGCATCATATAAAAGACGGTTGGGAAATGTGTATTCCGCTCTTTCTATAAACAAGTTTTCTCGAAAGTTATTAGTGAAACATCCGGAGCCCAAGTGAATGTATTTCCAGTGGAAGAAACACGAGACAAAAGGTTGTAAATTCCTCTAAAACATACGGAATGTAGTTGTTTAACTATTTTCTAGTTTGATGATAATTCGACCGTCCGGAGCGACGGCATGTCAAGACAGTAATCAAAACAAGAAAAGGGGTTCAGGAACAAGCTTTGATTCTCGAGTATCAATTTCGTTCTAACTTAAGTCCTATGATCGCTTTTTGGTTATAGAAAAGCCCAAGCCTTGGTAATCTTATTACGCGCTTTGCCTTGCAGACTGCCTCGTTCTGATGGCTGACACTCAAAATCTAAGCATCAAAATTTTGATGATGTTTGGCGTAGATATTCTCAACTTAGTTGGAAAAAAGTTAAAGAAAGATAATCCCGAAGACTGTGCGCGTAATGGGGATCAGTGCATGTTTCCAAGGCTTTCACTTTTCTGTAGCTGAAAAAGCGGTTGTAACGTAAATTCTATGAATAAACTGAAGCAATGCATTCATTTAGAATTCTCTGTCAGATAACTCTAAAATCTCTGTAGCTTTTCAAAGATCTTATCATGCATCATTCATCCGTTTGATGAAATAAAATTTTAAGACACAAGCTTGTGTAATATTTTGATTTTGAGTGTTAGACACTTCAATAAAATTCACAAGTTATCCGCAAAATTGAGTGCGCCAAATGTGAACTATAGCCACACAACAACGTACATTTCCAAATATACCGTGCAATTAACATCAGTCGATGAATATTATTCTCGTCTGTTTGTATACGATATATATTGGCTGCGTGGTATATATAAATAGATAATCAGCTAAATACGTGCGTATATTCTGTGATTCTAAATGTAAAGGATAGATCGAGAAACAAAATAAGTTCAATTAAGTTCACGATAAATTGAAAATAGTATGTAGCGAAAATAATATGTAATACGGAGATATCTCTGTTAGCACAACATATATCTTGTAATATCTTTCGTTTTACTGCGAGAATAGAACAGCGCATTTGATTAAGAAAACAGCGAGCATGTGCTAAAAGAGATTTTTTTTTGCATATTTGAATATTAAAACTAAAATGAATAGAGCGTTTTGTAACGTTTACAGTTTAAATAAACATGAGACACTTCGTTATAATTTTTATTAAGGTGAAGTCCGAGTTATGTTTCAAAATGTTAGAGTCAAAGTATGTCTTTCTTTATCCAACGATTGCACTTTGTTTCAAATAGTTTTGATTTCGGTTCAGCCAAAAGACTGCTCTAGTTAGTCTTTTATCCCCAAATATATCAATATTTGTAAAAAGAGAAGATCCGTTAATGATTAAAATTCATTAGACTATGTATTCTTCACAGAAACAATGCTTTTAATTACGAGATTAGTTGCTATTGAAATCGAGAGTATGCCGGTTTTTAGAAGATGTGCCCTCGAAGCTGAATAAAATCCTGGCCACAACGAGCGTGTTGTAAAAATCCGGTGACAAACGGAAGTGTGTTTTATTCCCACATCAAAATAATTCTCTGTGTGTAACACGTTTGTTTTGTTTCAGATGGCCTGCCTTACTGAAGTAGATTTTCGTCTTCAAAAATTAAGAGAAAGAAATAACCACGCGTACGACGCCATTTTGTGGTTAAGAGCCAATAAGTAATTATTTAAAGGTGCCATATACGAACCACTCTTCGTCTCGGTACGTATTTTTCTTGGATGTTTGTAGCTTGACTAACAACGTCATATTTCATTTAGTTAAATACTGAAAATCAATACGTACATGATCGTTTGATATCTCTGTTTGATCGAGAAGAAGTAAATTCTATGTTCTATTTTCAAAATAGCGACGACATGGAACTGTTTCTTGAAGAATTACACACAAAAAAAGGATTAGTTGTACACTGCTGTGGAATACCAAAAATGTCTATTGAACAATATCTTGTAGAAGCACGACCAATGTAAGTGTTGTATCTCAAAGCAAAATCAAACGACGTCACTTTTATAACAGTTACAGAAAATAGAAACAGTAATAATACCTTTCGCATGCGATGTAAAGCTTAGTGATGTCTAAGAATAATCCACCTTCAACGTTCGTTTTTTGATTCTTTAGAGTCGGCTGTGATTTGCAGCAATTATTCAAAGAAGCTGTCGGTTCAGATCCCATTCTACGGATGTTGTGTTTTAAAGTTATTCAAGTTAGTAAACGACAATTTATACCCTTTTATATTGTTCATTTGTACCCTTCTTGTATTCTTTATGTATTAAATAATTGTCTTTCTTTTCAGGAATGTACAAAGGACGAATGGCGTAAGGTCTTTTTGTTTTTTCTAATAAAAGAAAACTTGTCTTATATTCGATTCTCACGTTTGTTTCAGCAACGAGCATCGCGTATAATGATCCGATGGATGAATTAACAAATAAAACATTATCGCATGGCGATCAAGATTTATTTCCTGTACAAAAGATACTCAATGAACCAAATGGTAACAGTTTTATTGTATTAGCGTATATCTTTGAATTTAGAAAAAGTGTTTTAACGTAATGATAAATTCATAAATCATATTTAAATTCAAAGGACTAGTTGCGATAAGGTCGTTTTTTTGACCACCCTATTTTCAAAAAAAGATTATATATTCGGAATTAGCATCGAATTCTGAGTAAAATGACGTATTTTTTCTGTCGAAAATCGGTTTTCATTTTGAAAATTTTCCGTCCCTATCAGCCCTTTGAAACATCGAAAACTCTTTTTTGCCGATTTATTTGAATTCTACATCATTCGATGTAGAATTTGAGGCTGATTACGAATACCAGGTTGGTTTTTCTCCAAAGCTTCAAGAAAAATAAAAAAACGGCTTTTTTGGTAAGAGATATTTTTAACCGATGTAGGATTATGGCCGTCAGCCGACCTAAAAATTCGGTCTGAACGTTTAAAACATACCTAGACATATGCAGCCACGTTTTTTCTATCCAAATCATGTAAAATAAGACGCTTAAAGCCAACTTTTGAATAAGTTTTTGGCCCGAAACTGAAAAATTGATGAAAAATACGAACTTTTGGGCACTTCGACCATGTTCTACGTCTTTTTTTTCATTTTAAATTTTAAAATTTTTTCATTTTAATATTTGGAAAGAGCGTGAAAAAATGAATCGAACTATGTGTTTCACACATTGGATTAAGTCTTAATGTTAGTACAAACGGGTCATCAAGTGTCCAAAAGTTGATGTCCCAAAGGGCTGATAGGGACGGAAAATTTTCGAAAAAAATGAAAACCGATTTTCGACAGAAAAATACGTCATTTTACTCAGAATTCGATGCTAATTCCGAATATATAATCTTTTTTTGAAAATAGTGTGATCAAAAAAACGGCCTTATCGCTACTAGTCCTTTTTTATTTATATCAATTACTGCATGCAACTGTTTTGAAATTAAATCAACTAGTAGAATATTCTAATACAGATAAAATAATAGCATGGAGATATTTTTTAAAGCTCGAGAAGGCTATATAAGATATTAGTCGATGACCTCCAGGTTTTACCTGACAGGTTTACTAGCTAATGCAGAGGTAGCGACTACCAAATTTTCAGTAAAATTCGATGAGCCGAGTTTTCTCTGACGGTAATATCTTGATAAGATTTCCA